TCCCCCCCCCCCAAACCTGTGCCTTATATTTGCTAATATTAAATAGCTGAAAAATTAAGCCAACTTTGAAGTGGAAACTCAGACTCTTCTGTGAAGGCTGAAAATAACTTCTTAGCATTCTTCATCTCGCTATTGCAAAGAGAGGTCAGAAACTTGTCAAGTAAATCTGCTTCTGGAAGGCTACAATTCCAATTGCCTGGATCCCTTCACAAGCGAAAATACTTGGAAAACATCGGAGCGAGACTGACAGGCACCACTTTCGGTCATCAGCTTCTTCCTCCTGCTGAACCGGAGAGCTGCCTGTAGGAATTTGTACCGCAGAGGGACTCATCCCCTCCCGCTTCATGACCAACACTACAAAGGGTTGTGACTTCTGGATGAACTCGAACACGGCTCTTGCAACGACCTGATTGAAAGAGTTCTCCATTTGAAGAGTTCAAGTGATGGCAGAACTTAACGCAGGGCTGAGCCACTTCAGCTGTTAATGACTCCTGAGCTGGGCTGGATTCCTGTGCCTCTGCCTGGTAATGGGAGGTGTCTCACCTCGGTGCTCTTCCCCTGACAGAATGCTTTCTTCTGAGTCAGCCCTCAATCATCTCTTTGAGGAGTTGTGTTGGAAAAGACACTGTAAAACAGGTCTCTCTGCACTCTTCAATACTGTTTTCAAAGTGTGGCTATGAGGAAAGGAAGGAAAGGAATCACATATCCTGATTTAGGAGTAATTCCCTGAGACATGGCTTTCCAACAGCCTTCAACAAAATGTGTTTTATTTTTCTGTAGAAGAAAAATGCCCATCATTGGGGCAGAAGGCCAAAGTGATCAAGCAATCACCTCTGTTTCTGAATCTGAACAAAGAGACAGAGGAAGAGTGCTGCAATTGCCACAGAACCTCAGCACTAAGCACACAGAACCTAAGCACTGAGTGTTAAAATGATTTTTCATTATACAGGGCTAGAAGGTTAAATACGATTCAGGGTCTGTGTATTAATTCCACAGCATCTCACATTTAAAATCTTTGTAATAATTTATTAAGGATAAGTGATAGAAAAGACACTTTTATGAGATTGGTAATTTAAAATAAAAATAGAGCTTTTGAAACACTGTATATTCTGTTTTCTGCATCTGACAGTGTTTCAGACAGAACAAGGGAAGAATCCTCTTCTCCTTTGAAAACAGAAGCTGGAAAAGGCTGGACCTGCCACACTGAGATATCTGCAGCATTTTCTGAGACAAAGCATGAAGAACATACAAGGGAAGACAGAAATTGCAACTCTTACCTGCAGTATCTGGGGCAGTGGTGATGTAAGACTGGTTGCACTTCGACAGTTCATTGCCATCCTGGGAGGTAGTCCCTACATTTGCTTCCTTTTAAACCAAATTTCTCCTGCCTGAATTTTCTTGAATATTTGGTACTAGCTTTTCCAATTTAGAAAAGTTGGTTTGTTGGTTTTTTTTTTTGCACATTTCTTTCCATAACACTGTAAGTGGTGTGGACCAGGCCCATTATCCCAGCTCATCCTTCAAACACATTTGCAAAATGAACTGCTTGTCTCCCTTATATGCCATGTCCAAGGATGTCCCTGGTCACTGAAGCACCAGCCAGTCACCAGACATGTCTGAACAACGCATGGGACATTTCTGAGATGTGCTTGTGTATGTTTTGCACCCTGGAGCAGTCCTCTTTGGACAGAAATTTGGGAAGCATCAGTCTCTCCAAGCAGCAGGACATGAGTGGGTGGTCATGGCCATTCTTCAAGGTGGTCCCTGGTCCATAGACCCCAACACAGGCTTGGGGCAGAGCTCCATATAAACATTCTTCCCATCCCTCATTCCTTTTGCATGGGACAATCAAACCCAAACCTTGGAAATAAACACCAGTACAGAAAGGAATGTTTACCATTCAATGTATTATTCCCTTGTGTACAAAGTATTTTGCCTCTATAGTAGCACACAGGTATTGAAATACGATGGCAAATGCAGCAAGACCATACAGACATGCCATACAGGTATTCTCATTTCCTTTTGAGTAAAAGCAGAAAGAAAAGAAACATTGTACAGGAAAGTGCTTGCAAAAAAATACCCCAGTTTGTAGAAAAATAATGGCATTGATATATAAAATCCAGAGTTCTTTCCTGAACAAGAAATGTCTATTGTCTCTGATCCTCAAAATCTGCTCTATTTAATGGTGACTCTTAAGCAATGTCAGGATCAGTGCTCTGTCATTTTTTCCCTTATAGTTTATTTTGTATTTTTTAGGTTCTGCTAGCTCTGTTAATAGCTACTCTGAAACTAGATGGTAAAAATGAATGTGTACAGGTCAAAACAGTATTTCTTTTTATAAATAGCAATTCACTTCCAGTGGTAAAGCACCACTATTTCTTTCTAAAGTTCATAGTGCAATTTTCCCTTTTCCCCTACAGAATTTATACATAAGCAACTATCATTAGAAAAATCACTATTCCATTTTTAGTCCTTTCCCCTTTCCCTTTTTTCTCTTTCTCTTTCCCTTTTTCCTCTTTCCTTCACCAGTTCTTCAGCTGCCAGGCTGCACCACATCCCTGCCTGTGAGATGTCTCCCAGCTGACAGGAATGTGTCAGGGCCTGATTGGCAGGCTGACAGGTTTCACTCCAAAGGCTGAACACAGCCCGGCACACACAGGTTATAAATCCAGGGATCACATCCTTTATCATCTTTGATCCCACTCTTTTGTAACACACTGATTACACATCCTTTGGGGAGCTCTGTAAAAGACTCACACAAGATCCCGAGGTTGTGTTTGGTAACTGCTTGCATCCAAAATGGGAAGAGTTATCTGGAGTAGCAGATAAGCCTCTTTGGTTTCCCAAACTGCTGGTAATTTTGTGCTGAAAAGCTTCCTTTCCTTGTACTTTGTGCTCCTGGCTGCCTCCACATGTAAGGTGAAAGGGCAGCACCTTCCTATCACTAAGTAAAGTTGTGGAGAAAGCGCTAAGGAACATAGTCACAGACTACAACAAGAACCTGGTCACATCAGCCCCGTTCAATGTGCTGCAAAGCTCTGTGAAAGCGTGGCGTGCCACAGGCAGAGGGCTATGTACAGGCAGGAGCCACCACACCTAAGGGACAGGCTCGCAGTTTGATTAAAAAAAAGCCAACAGCAAATGTCTGGCTGCACATGGGAATGAGGAGAGGCGAGGAGCACAGATGCCTTACCAGGAAGATCCAAAGCAACACAGGAGTAGGCGTAAAGCGGCTTGCTTTTGAAGGGGGGGCAGAATCATCTGTAGGTACAGAGTGATCTTGTTGAAAGGAGGCAGTGAAGCCTCCCTTGCAGATGGTCTGGGAGTGAGTAGGAAGCTGGGGAAATGCTGCAAATGCCTGCAGGGGAGTACCCTGGCCAAGAGAAGGGGTGTTTGGCTGGGCGTGCTGTCCCCATCCCTGGGGCGTGCTGTCCCCATGGTCCTCACCAGCCCCACGGGGAGGGAACACCACAGGGATGCTTTCAGCTTCACGCTAGGATTTTGTAACAAAGTCTGTGAGAAAAGGCATCTCTTCTGAGCACACAGCCCAGGGAAACATATGGCCTGATCAGCCTGTCTGGGATGAGTTAATACCCCGCTTCCAGATGGAGTCAGGAAGCACAGTGGCACATGCAATTAGGAGACAAAGATATGCTTTTTTAAAAAGTGAGTTCACTTCAGAACTCTAAAAAAAAGGGGCTTGAGCTGAAGATCCATCTGCAGGAATTTTCCAAAACCTCGGGTAGATCTTGATTGAATTGCCTGACAATTTTTCTGCTTTATCCCTTTCTTCAATGATAAAGGCACTGGATTAACTAAAACTACAGAGCATTAATAAATATCATGTTAGCACCAAACCAGGCCTTTCAGCACTGGCCACAGAGGTCATGTGAAATTTAAAACATACCTAAAAGATAAAAGATTGCTAATGCAACTAGCACAGTATTCATTGTCATGTTTTCCTTGAGTGCTGTCAGCCTAATCCCTAAAAATAAAAATTTAAGCACATCTTGTCTAATTTCCTCACATAAAGACAGATTGAAATGCCAAAAATACCCCTATGCAGATTGTGTAGCACCGTGGAGGGCCAAAGCAGCCCTTAACTGAAGGAAAATTACTGACTGAAAGTAAACAACTGAATACAGTGACAATAAAGTATCACTTGTCATAATGCTACATATAATGTAGAGTATGCAAAATGCAGTGGTTTGACTGCAGAATTTAACAATAAAAAATAAAAATAGTAAAAGCAGCCTTAATATAATGATTTTACGTACAAAAATATTAAATCAAAATAAATAATCCCAAACATAAATATTATACTGTACATTAGGAATATGCAATCTATATACACATATACACAGATATAAAAGTGGAAGGCAGAGGTATTGCATCACTATCCTTCATCCATCTCTTATTTCCCTTGGCTGCTCCCAGAGAACCTGTAAAACATAGAAAAGGAGCACATTTAGAGTCATCCTGGCCTCTGGAACATCTCACTAGAGAAACTGGCACAAGAGCAGAGCAAAAGCGGGTGCCAGTAAGGTGGGGAGGTGTTTGTCACCAATGCACTCCATGTCTTTTTGCAAGCATGGCCTGATCTGCTCCTTCAGGGCATTCTGGGGAAGATTTTTCCTTCATGCAGAAGTAGCTGAGAACTCACCACTACTATAACACCTGAATGTCGAGGCCTGTTCCAGATGATGGAGTGCACTTCCCACAGTAACCACCACATCTTCCTACTACTTTGGTACCATCCTGCAGGCAAAATCAGAAATAACAGCTCAGTAAGAGCTCAGGAATTCCATGCTGTAGAAGGGCCAGGTCTGGGTTACTCAAGCCACAGTTTTTAGGATCAATAAGACAACAAATCATGCCAAAATCAATCTACGAATTCACTGATGTCTTCATATATACATAAATGTAATTCTCTTTAGTGCTAGCAGGTCAAATGGTGGACACAAATAGGAAAGGGTAGTTTTGATTTATTAAATTGAAAGCTGCCCAAGGAGAAGGCCATTTGTAGGGTATCTCAAAGGTATCTGCTTTCTCCAGTTTGCCCTGGAGTGAATAACAGTAATGAGTAGAAAACATGGCTCATGCAAGAGCAAAACCACTCTGGGTCAGTAACAACTGCTCAGCTCTGCCTGGGCATGGCAAGGGCATGGAAAGGGTATTTGCAGGCAATACCAGGAAATATCCACTTGGAAGGGAAAGTCCTGGAGTGGCTCCAGAGACAATAGAGAAGGGAAAGTGATGGGGTGAGGTGCCAACCCTCCTCCCTTCCCCACAGCCAGAAGGGATAAGTATGGAGCGGTCCTGTGGTTGACCTGGTCTCCAGGTGAGCCCAGCAAGCAGGGTGCAACTCTGGGTTTGAGTCAGGAGATTAATACCTCCATCTGACCTTCCTTATCTCACCTCTGCAGAGTCTTTCTTCTCTTGGTCATTACAATATACGATAGACAGACAGTCCTTGAGGGGAATTCAACCCTCAATTACCAGAAAATTGAACTTAAGCATACAACAAGCTTGCACAAAGCATTTATTTTTAAACGAGCTCCACCCTGCCCTTGACACTATTGATCTGTGACTGCAGCAGGCTGCTATCATCTCTTCTCACTAGACTATTCTTTCTTCTGCTCCTGCAGGCAATTATGCCCTTGGAACAGCACTTGACAGATGCTACCAGGTGATGGTGGATTTTTGAGCACCCCTGTTCCTTAAAGTTTGTTTTAATCCTGCCAGCCATGATGTTTTCTGCAACCCCAAAGTCGACTTCTCTCCTTTTAGAAGGGAAAAACAGAAGAGCACCAGCCAGAATGGACATACAGTGTCTGTGCTGGTCCTCTTCCACCTGTAGTGTGGTCAGACCTGTAGCATTAATTCTGCTCTAAGAGCACCAGCACAGAGGAGACTCATGCTCCCCAGAGCCTGGGGGGAGACTGAAAGCAGTACAGGAGAAGATATTTTGCAAATTGCTGTTTGTTAAATGATGATGACCTCCTTTGGAGAGTTTTAACAGGGGAAATTGGGATGACTCACATGATGGAACAGCCAAAAAAGCAATGGTTTCTACCATTTCAGAATATGACACAGAAGCAACAGAGTGAAGGCACACAGTGACTGCAGGAGGTGTTAACAGGCAAATTAAACAGCACAAGTACGAATTTGGCTGTGAGTGACTGTGAAGGGCTGCCTGGCTTACCCTGAGGCTCCAGCCAGCAGAGCCACAGGGAGTGACAGGGGATGGTGCCTCTGCAACACTTCAGTGACTCGAGATTTTCCTAAGAGATAAACCCAGACCAGACCAGCAGGAAGGTCCACATCCTCCATGCTTTACCAGCGATGTGTTGGGAACTTGCCTGGCACCAGACCCTAACTGCAGGTCCAGCTCTCCTCTGCAGCCCTGACCCTGTCCTGCTGCCCTGCCCTGTGATGCACACTCCGTGCTGGACATCTCAGGAAACTGATTAAGAATATGTCTGCCCCACAGCACTCAGTGCTTTCAGCTTCACAGTTAATCAGGCTCACTAATTAATTAAACCTGATCAAGTTAAACCCGCGAGGGCCTCGCCCCACTACAATTACGTGCAACACTTTAATGTCAGATGTTCATTTTCTGTTAGTCTCTATTGGAAGATGTTGCCATGAATGACAATGTGGTGATTAAAAACTTCTGATGAGCAGGTACAGCCATAATTAAAGTTACAACTTACTGGGGATTTCTGAATTTCCGACACCGCGTAATTCCCTTGTGAGAGCCACTTGGCTGTTCCCATTAGGGACAGGCCTGTCCCATAAAGGTCTATGCTGAAGCGACCCTAAAAAACAAGAAAAGTCTGGTTATCCCAAAATGCCATGCTCCAGACTCCTGGCATGCCACGGTGTCACTTTTCTAACAGGATTTTGACAGCAATGTTTTCCTTGTTTTCCATGGCTCTGGCCATGATCACTGTACAAATCACAGCATGGCTCACATTCGGAATTCCTTCTCCTCGGTGGAGGCAGAGAAGGAGGGGCTTCAGACTGCTTTTGAACTGCCTTTTCTCCTCAGGTTTGCACTGCTTTACCCCGGTTTTGCACCGTTTTTTCCCGGCTTTGCACTGCTTCTTCTCTGCCGGCTGAGGGCATTGTTGGCTTTCCCATGGCAAACTGCAGAGCCGGACGTGCTCCAGCAGCTGATGGGAAGGAACCTCAGGGATGTGCTGCAGCCACTGTCACTGCTCCCTCCTCAACTGGAGAGGGCACACTTGTCCTTGTTTTCCTTATTTTCCACTGTTTTGTGTTTTGTTTTTTTTTTTCCCAGACTAGTGAAATAAAAACTCTTCCATTTGCTTATTTCTTTAAAACACTTAATTCTACCCTTTCTCAAAATGAAAAAGATAGATAGAAAAATAAGGACTATGCCAGCATCATATGCACCATGGCAGTCCTGCCAGTTTCTGGACCCACGGAGGGATGCTTTGGACACATCCCCAGGCTGACCCACAGCCCAGCACAGCCATGCAGTACCAGATGGCTGTGAGCTTTGCTCCTTGCACTTGCTGCCTTGGGAATGCTGATTTTCTGTGAGGAGCAAACTGGGTCAGGTGGATGGATATTAGCATTTATGAGCATTCCTGAAGTAAGGAGTCAATCTCTAAGCTGCTGAGCTGTGCAGGAAGGTGTCAGCTCTGAAAGCAGGGAGGGAAGGAGATGCAGAGGTTTATGCTCTGCTGTCTGCTGCAGCGACTCCCTCTTTAATGCCCTTTGCCGACAATGCCCACCCAATACCTTGGACTGCCCAAAGAGATCACTTATCATCCCCAGCCCCACAAAAGGCAGGTGTGCTGGGAACAGGCAGCAAGCCATCCCTAACAGTGTTATTTGTCCCCTACAGACTTTCAAAAAGCATCTACTCCCTACTGCTCTCTCTGCCCAGAATTTCCACCAAGTCCTGCCATAGACAGATTCCCCGTCTTCAGCTATGCAGGCAAAACCCAGTTCTCCCCTCACAGACTCTTTCTTCTTCCTTTTTTCCTTCACTGGGGCCCTAGGGAATGTCTTTTAGCCAGCCACTGGCCTGATAACGTGGAAAATGGAAACAACTTTCTTCACATTCACAAAGGGAACTTTCTCCATCACTTTCTCCATGTTCACAAAGGGAAAAATTTCAGATCACTGAGATAAGAATGTGCCACTCACAGAAGTTGGGCTGCTGCGGCCAGCAGTAATTAAGAGGGCCTGAACATAACAAATGGCACCAATTCCTGTTAAATGCTCTTGTCAAATACCTGCGGGCATTTGGCAGCACTGTAGCAGTCCCCAGCAGTGGCATAAGGAACAGGTCGTCCATCATGTGTCTGTGCAAACTGTAAATCAGTTGCTGTGGAGAAGAGTTGGTGAGCAACATGGAAAGAAAGATGCAGGGAAAGAGACAAAATAAACGTAAACATGCTCTTTGCTGATGTTTAAATTCACCAAAGCTGGCTTCCCACATTAATATATGACGTCAAGACTACTATATTTTTATGAAATCAAGATTACTGTATTTTTTAATATTAAATCTCCTGACTCATCTCACATGTGATTCCCAGCACATGAACACTGAATTTAACAGGACACTTAGCTCAGTTTAAATCTTTTGGTGATTTGGGACCAAGATATAAATAACAAAACTCAAACCCTTGACTTGGGGTTTATTTCACTATCAAAAAATTCCCCACTTTCAAGAAGGCTACAGCACCTTCTAAATCTCTCTTTTAAACAAAAGCAAACAACATCTCTGCTCTCCTGGCTGCCCCAGCCCAGGGGTCGGGTTTTCAAAGGGAATTGGAGTATTTTGCTCTGGAGGGATCTGAAGTAACTGAGACTCATTTAGATGGGGATGTGAGATAGCTCCTGCCTGACAGAGGTAGGTGCCCAGCTCCTTTTGAAATTCAAAGGGGGCTGGTATCAAATTCCCGGAGGGTGGCTCCTTTGAGATCTTTACCTAGGAGCTTTTACAGATTATTAGTTGCTTTTTACAGATTGATAGACTGGGAGGTCTTGAAAATTAAGTGATAAAACCCACTTATCAGATAAAGAGTCGTTTTACAGGGAAGGATTTTGATTTGCTAAGAAACCACTTAGCTATTTACTAAATGAACTCCCAACAATATGCTGTATTTTAAAAACATTTGCTGGAAACTGATAGCAGTGGAGTCAGGGGGACTGAAATCATAACCCCATGGAATGCTACAGGGTCTCTGGTGGTGGGATTGGCTCCCAGCTCACAGGAATGACAAAAGAGACAGTGTGTTACTCATATTGCACAGCTGTACTCTTTCTCCACTGCAAATCCATGTCCCCAGCCCTCAACACAAATTATTTCCCCATGGTCTGGCTCTGCCAAGGGAATACTCTGCCCTAGCCACTGGGAACAGCATCCCCACCCTGGTGGAGACCCCTGCACTGGGATCTCCTGACACCTCTCTGATTAAAATGGAGGAGTGGGGTGGAGGGTGGGGGCAGCTCCTCCCTGGTTAGGCTTTGTGTCTGAGTCCAGTCTGAACAGAGAAAATATGAAATTTCCAAATGAAATTAAATAAAATATTTCACAAAATACACTGGGTTGCTGGGATCATGGAGATACTCATTCTGCAGGGCAGATACACCAGCAATTGCCTTTGTATTTTCCTGTTTTACAGAGAAATAACATGAGCATCTCTGATGTACTCAAGTTACAGTCTCCAAGTGTAAAGCAGCAAAGAGCTGACCAAGTCTAAAAGCAGCTTTTAACCGAAATTCTCAAGAATATTGCTCACTAGAATAGTACTGCTTGCTTGTAGTTACAGCTATATTTGTGTAAAATAAACATTTTTTTTTAATGGCAAGGCCCTGTTTTTACTCACTTATTATTTGCATAGTGTTCAGGTCCAGCCTTACTTTGCTGAAGGTGGAAAACCCAGCTGCTGTGTAATCTTTCCTACACTGGCAGTCTTCTCGTCTGCTCCCGTTATATGGACACTCGGTCGGGTTATGCAATCTAAATCAAAAGAAAACCCCTTCTACTCATGACCAGGAAATATTGCCATGGAAAACAAAAACACTGTGAGGTTCATGATTAAAGGATTTCTTACCTGTATCCATACACCTCTGAAAAATTCTCTGCATCCCCGTTTACAAGGGTCACATACTCCTTTGGGCTGTCAGTCTGCATCCCAGAGCAATACACCTGAGAGAGAGAAGCCACAGTTGTGTCATGTGCAAAGGCATCACTGAGACAACCAAAGGCAGAAAATCCAAGAGTGGAAGTGAAGACCACAAGCAGAGTCCTCTTGAACCTTCAGAAAACCCATTAACTATCATTCTGTTGCTGAAATGCACCTTTAATGTCTTTCCTTTGACTTGCAGGAAATATTCACCATCTTCAGTGACACCTTTGAGATGTTTAACATCTTTGCAACTCCTTGGTAAGTCACCTGAAACAAAACAGAAATACTTGTAGTCACTGAACAACTATACATCAGAATTTCTTTTGGAACACTCTGAGGCTTCCAAAGCATCAAGACATCTTTTTTATTTTTAACAGGTTTCCCTGAAGTGACTTAGTGCTTATTTGGATGGCTCCCAATCTTTGGAAATACTGCAGATCTCTAGGATTTTGGTGGGAAAAGATGCTGAAGCCATGAGAAAGGCAAAAGAAGGTGTACATCTGCAGACTTACAGTCATGGACATTGTGGCATGTCCTCCTCTCTTCAGGTTTCAGGTCCACATGGCACAAGTTGCTGACCTGGTCATCGTTGGTCAAACACTGCACTGAGCGGTGCATGACCCCAACTCCACAGGTGACAGAGCACTGCAGGACACAAGACAGAGATTCCTGGTTTATCTCAAGGGCTTATGGGCTCCAGAAGAAAGAACAGAGACAGATGGTTTCCCTTGTATCAAGAGACAGCAGCAAAACTCCAATCCTGTGAAGTGTCCAAGCACAGGCTTAATTTTAATCAAATGAGTAGTCCCTTTGGTAATTAATCCCTTCCTTATTATCATTGATTACTTCAAGACTACATACTTTGCTCAGTGTTTGCACACTTTGCTGGATGAGGCAGTTGGTTAAAGTGAACCATGTGCTCAAGTGAAATTGCTTATTTTTCACATTAGGGAGATTGTTGTTTTCTATGCCAATTGCACCCAAAAAAAGAGACTTGAAATCTTCTCTCCCCTCACCTGTTGGGAAAATGGCTACATCTGTGCAAACACTGGGTCACCCTCAAACCAGCCAGATCAAGAGCAATCCTAAGTCTGAAATTGCACAAGTTACTGGAGCTACTAAGCAGCAGAGCATCCAGCTACTGAGAATGGGCTAGGGGAGGTGGAAGCATCTTGCTCCCCCCATCCACAACTTGTTCTTTGAAGTAACTGAAAGATAAAAATCAGCTCTTTCTACAGCTACCAGGTTAGGTTATAAAGAAAAATGAAGTTGCTCATCCATTTAGAAATGATTATTCTAAAGGAATACACTATGAAGAAGATGGTCTTCAATAATAGCTCATGGTATTCATAGCTTGGGCATTTACTCTTTATCAAGTCCAGTTCCATAAAACTTAGCTAAAGCACTAAGTAGGACTCTGTCCATCAAAGGTGATGGCATTTTACATTAAATCACTTTCAAAATCACAGCTGACAAGGGTCATGGCACTTGGTGGTCACTGGGACATTCAGCAGCCCAAAGCGAGGAGAAAGGTCTTGCTCTCTGAAATGAATGCTCTTTGCAGTGAAGTTGGATTAATGAGTTGGGTATTTTGCACTTAAATTCTGAGGGGAAAATACCAATTAATTGGGGCTGAACTCTTTGCTGTAACTCCTCTGTGCTGACTCACAGGGAGGATCTGAAGCTTCCTATGGGGCAGGAGGAACATAGGTTTCAAATGGCTTTGCCAGTTACCGTGACAACTCCTACTACGTTTTACTTGGCTTGACACTCATTGCCTTGTAAAGGTTTGACAAATTCCTACAAATGCCTGAGCTGGGTTAATAAATCAAGTTTATGGGAGAAACATCACATTTCAAAGAATGTCAGAAGCCCTAAGAAGTGAAATGTTATCACCTTAACTAAAATTTGATCTTGTAGTTCAGCTCCCAGAAGAGGCTCAACACAAATAACTTTAGCAGAAAGGCCAAGTTCTTTCCCCTGACCTGTCCCATCATTTGTGAGAAGGAGGGGGAGGAAAAAAGAAGACAAGGCTCAAATGACCAGTGTTTCAGCCTAATTCTGGCTCCCAGGTCTTTCTCATACACATGGCCAAGTGGGATCAACTGCAGTTGCCAATGACCCACAAATCCTTCTAGCATAAGGCTTTCAAACTCTTGTTTTTCACAATGACCCCACTCCCTGACTAAGCATTCAGCATGGCCACAAATGTTGGCTACATCCCAATTTTCATCAATGACTCTACTTGTAGCTGTTGGGACTCTCCCATAGAAGGGGTTCAGTCTGAAGTATGAAGCCTTACACACACCAGGGCTACTGCTGCACCAGACTATTCAGTGCATTAATTTAAGCAGCTCTAAAACATTCCCCTGCCAAACCTTTGGTTTGTGTTTAAAAAACCCCAGATTGCTCCAGACTTTTTGTCCAAAAAAAGAATTTTTCCCGACTTACACTTCCCCAGTTGCCGACGCGCCAGGAGGCCGAGATGGGGCACTCTCCGAGGTAGCAGGGCTGGATGTTGGGGGGCTGTGTGCCAGGACAGTTGACCATGTTCTGGTACCCGTACTCGTAGTGGTCCTTCCCGGTGTAAATCTCACTGCAGGACACGAGGCGCTGCCTGTATCCCTTCCCACAGGTGACGGAGCACTGCGGGCAGAGGAAATACCCGTGAGCACCACGTGCTTTGGGAAGGCTGCCCAAAATGTGAGGGGAGGAAACCAGGCCTGCCAGCTTTTAACACAGGAAACTGCTTCAAGGGATCACTGGTGTCTATTTAAGCCAGTCACAAATATTTTAAGTGGCTACTACAAGTGGGCTGGTGCCTGACACTATTTTTCAGCACCCAGTTCCTCTCTGGGCTGGATCTACAGCTGCTCCAGGACTCTCTGCTCTAGGCTGGCTCCTGGGCATGTGTTATTTCTTCCCAAGCACAAAGAAAGGAGCATAAGATCCTCGGGAATTTGGAAATGCCTCTATTACTTGTTTTGGTTTGGTGGTGTTTTTTTGCATGGATACACAGAGATAGAAAATGGTCAAGCTTGACCCAGGATTGCAGGTACTTGGCAGCATCTAGAAGAATGAGAAATTTTTCATTGTAATTAGAGGATAAACAGCACTTCTGCCCTCCTCATCAAAGGGCTGAGTGGGACCTGGAGAGAGCCAAACTCTGGCTCTGTAGGCCCTCTTCACCTCTCTGTCTTCATGGGCCTGAGTGCTCCCTGGTGGTCTCCCTGGCATTGGGAGTGGGTAGAGGGTGCCTGGGCAAGGAGCAGCCAGAGCTCCAGCCTGACAGGCACCTCAGTATTTCTCTTGAGAAACCACTCAGGAGACCAGGCTGCTCTGAGACACTCTCATGTCTCTGCGTTTCTCCCTCCTTGCACTAATTCAGGTGGCTTGTCTCTCCTCCCCCTCAGTCCTGGCATGTTTTCTTTTTTCCCTTCTCTTGTTCTTCCTTTTTAATCAGCGCTGTGTCAGCAGCTGCCTTGTCATTTCCCTCTGCTGTTTCTCCAACTGGAAAGTAATCCTTCACTGGCTGCAGAAGGAAACAGGCTGAGATTAGCCTGGGTCCTCCTGCATGCGGCGCCCGCCGCAAGGAAAACTCATCTATTTTCCTTGCCTCCCAGCTGTGAGAGTCAATGTCCTGCCTTCCCTCACTCTGGGTCCTTGCCCCTGAAAAGACAGCACTGAGGAAGGATGTGCCCCCATGGTCACCTCTAGGCTTGCCTCTGCCCCATGATGCACACCCAGACCCTTACACAACTTACAGGGCCCCAGAGCCCCCAAGAAGTGGATGGGAATAAAACCAATTAATTAAATAAATGAAATAAACCAGCAGAAAATCATAGAGGGTGCCTGCTGAATGCACTGTGCTTTGGAAGAAAATTACCTACACATAGTATTAGCTAGGACCCTGAGCACGCTGCTTTTAGTCTTTAATATCCTGGTTGTGTCCCACAGCACTGCTCCGTTCTATCCAGCAGAGAGACTGCACACCGTAATAAACCAAAAAATAATAATTAAAACCCACAGCGCTGCCTTGCCACCGTTGATTTGGGTTGCAATACCTCAGCAAGGGCAGTGCTGAGAGGAGGAGAGCATGGCCTGGTGCAGGGACAGGGTGGGGACTCACCTCTGACCACTCTCCCGTGATCCAGATGTACTCGCAGGGGGGCAGCCCGCAGCTCTCCATCTCGGCGGGGCGTTTGCTGGGGTCGCAGTAGCTGCTGCTCTGCAGCTGCTTGCTCTCATCCACACAGAACACCTTGCGGAACCGGGACGCCTCCCCACACGTCTTCGTGCACTGTGTGCAAGAAACAGCAGCTCATGCAACCCCCGAGGGACTCCAGAGAATGGATCCACATCCAGAGCGAGCCCTCCTCCCAGCAGCCCCTGTAAGCTGTCACTGGTGTCACCGGGGGGAAAATCTCCAGCCAGGATCCTGCTGTGCCACGTGCTGCTGCCTGTGCCAAACCGCTCCTGTCCTCGGGAGGTACCAACCCAAACCCACAGGAGAGAGGAGAAAGCAAGGTAGCAGGTATTGGGATGGGGCAGATGTGGGGTCCAGCTGTCATAGGATCAAAAGATGCAAGATTGGGCAAGCTGGGCCAGGAGACAGGGCAAGGGGAGAAGAAAGGGGACAACCCCCATTATTTCAGCCTCTAGTAAATACAGCTGTTTGGGGAATGACAACTCAACTATCCCCCTTGCAAAAATCACACTGCTGCACCTTTGGCTGGGGGGAGCCCCTTCCCCAGCTCTCTGCCTTGGCATGGGGGCACACAGAATCATAGAATCATCATAGAATAGGTTGGGTGAAAAAGACCTTAGAGACCATCTCATTCCAACCCAGAGCCATGGACAGGGACACCTTCCACTAGAGCAGGTTGCTCAGAGCTTCACCCAGCCTGGTCTTGAACACAACTCAGCAACCACTGCAGTGGAGGCAGCCCTGCAGGTTTATTTTCTTTTAAACACTGCCCTGCCTTATATTAAGAGCAACCCATGCCAGCCAAGTACAACTGCTCCCCAGGGCCTTCTGGAAACTTCAAGGACTCAGTTTTTTCTCTGCTTGTCTTGGAAAAACGAGCCTGACTGTGAGGCTGTGTTCCTGGGAGTGAGGCTGTCCTTGGAGAGCATCTTATAAAAACACATAAAACAAAATAAATCAGTGTAAGAGCAGCTGTCTAGATAAAACCCTATTTTCTTTTAGTTATTGCCTGTAATGGACTTCTAACACTTTCAGCTAACTGGATTAACAAGGAGAAAAATGCATGAAAATAATCATTTTATAGAACATGTAGGAAATGTCTTCCCCTTAAGGAAAAGGATAAAACATCCAATCAGACCATCCCTATCTGTAAAGAAACACCATTTGAAGTCACCTAGGTTTGGAACACTGTGCCAGTTTAATCTAGTTAGAGTCTTACCCTCCAAACATCATTTCCAACCTCCCTGAAGCAGCTCCTGCTCTCCTGGCTGGCCAGCAATTAGGAAGATCTTAGTGGGTTCAGCTGATTGCAAAATGCAGGCACTGTCATGGCTCTGTTTCTGTAATTAGCTGTCAGAACCAGGATTGTAAATTTTTTGAGAATCCTGAAAAATCAAGTCTGTGGCAGCAGCAGCAAACCAGGAGAGCAGCAGTGAGCACAACATCATGTTGGGTGTAAATATTTAAAACTGGGGCAAAGTGGAAAGGGATGGGGAAGGAGAGGCAGCTCCACAAAGCAGCATTTATTCCAAAGGAATAACTTAGGAACTCTTAGGCAACAGTCAACATTGCAAAATCTGCAGTCTGCCAGAAGACCCCAAGGGCTTTGTGTGCTTTCAACCTTATTTACTTTTTTGCTTTGAGTCCTTGGAGAGGAAGCTCCTTCTAGGTCTGTGCTGAAATATGGCAATCCTACAGGGGCTGGAGGAACCTGCTGGAGTGTGATTTCCCCAGAGAGCAAACCAAGTGAGCTATATTTGCCTGTCTTTGATTATCTCCCTATTACATAAGTAAAAGCTGAAAGGGGGTCATTGTGTGTGAATATGGCACCACTACAGCTCCATCATCAGGGAGCTTCCCTGGCAGCTCTCCAGGCAGCTTTGGGGGCAGCCTGAACCCCAACCTGCCTGCTCCTCCCTAAGGAGGGACTCTCCAGCACAGTGGGAGCAGGGTCACAGGATGCTCAAAGCCTCCCTTCCTCTGGTTTGGCATTTCCTAGCCCAGCAAGGGGTCAGCAATACAGGGTCTGTTCCGTGGTCCCTCACAGCCAAAGGAGGCACCTTGAAAGGAGAGGGAGAACCAAGCCTGATTTTGTCTCATCTCCTTAATGTATTTGCAGACTAAATTTGCAAAGCACATTGACTCATGCTTCACTTCAGGAGGCTGAACCATCTCTAGGCCATCAAGGCACCTTCTCACACAGTGAAGAGCTATCAAATCAAAAGCCCATCCTTGTTTAAAATCATTACTTGCTGATGAGAGACTGACACTCCCAAGCACAGGCCAGCCTGATTTGGGTTTGTCTGCAAATAACAGTTGTGTGGCCAAATAAACCTGAGCCAGCTCTGTGCATTTAGTCATCATCAGAAATTGAAGGTTTGGTTATTTGTATTTTTAAGGGTAACTGGCAATTAAAATAATCCCACTGAAATATCAAATGAGGCTCAAAGGCAGTGAGACTCAAACTAAGTCAATGAGAAACACTGCAGAGGTTCCAATCAGCCACCCTGAAGTTATAAAACATTATTCATATAGAAAGCAGACAGTTCAGCTAGCATGGAAAGGCTACTTTTCCTCTTAATGCAGTGTCAGATTTTGCATGAAATCTCATGTTCAAGACTGATTTAAATCTCACACAAAACAGTGGGGCCAGGCTGTAACAGCTATTGATAGCAAAATCTCAAAAACAGGTCAGGCATTTGACAATATTTGTCTCTTTTGCCTCATTTCCCAAATTCTGAACTATTTTCCTGGCAGTTCAAATTAAAGATCATTTCAAGCACTTCTGAAACTGCTTTAGAAGAGCAATAACAATAATTAAAATAACCCCAAAGGCACTGCTTTGCGAAAGCATTGATTGTTTTCTTCTTTTTTTTAAATAACCATCTGACACAGGGATGAAATGTACCCCCCATGCCATGAATGCTTGAAACATGCCTTGGGTAACTCTGCAATTCAAATTAGGCAAGGATGGCACAATTTCCCCCCAAAAGGCAAATGTCAAAGATTCAGGAGTTGCACGGCAGCTTCCAGAGCTGTGCATTGTCCTTCCACAGAGGCTCATATTAGAGGAAAAAACCCTTCTTTCTCCCAGTTTTTCCCTTTTTTTTTTTTGTGACTCCAGTCTGAGTTTTATTTTGACATTAGCAAGGCTCTTTCTATTGACTTTTTCCCCCCTGGTGAGGGCACTGAGAACAGGTGATTAATGGTGATACACCAACAGAGCAGTAAATGGTTTCCAGTAAGTTTCATATTCCTTCTCATTGTCAAGACCGACACTTTTTTCTAAATAACAACAACAACAAAAAGGAACAATAAAAAAAACCCCAAACTCTCTTGACAGATTCCCTTTAAAGATAAGAAATCAAGAACAAGACAGCACTGAGATGTTATTTATATCCTGCCTTCCATGTCAATTAGGGTTCATTGCTGCTCCCTGCTCAGAGAATACCAATGCAATCTGTGCCTCCTCATGGACAGTGCCTGTGGCTGGGGAGGAGGTGCTACTCCTTTTTTTCACTGTGTACACCAGAACAAAATAAGAAGTGCTTGGAAGAAATGCTTGGAATCATCCAAAGGGGCAAGCTCACATTGGGCAGCTCCTGCATTTTCCTGTTCATGGTTACTTATGAGTACTTATGAAGGTGAAGAAACCTCCAGTCCATCCTCCTAGTAAAGATCCCTTAGGGAAAAAAAAAAATGTCTCCATAATATGTTCAAAATTTCCCCAGTGCAATGGGGAATCCTGGAAAGCTTCAGAAAACATCAGTATTTGTATCCCATCAAGGGCTTGGAAGGGTGGAGGCAGTCACCTCTCCAAACAGTTTTGAGAAGTTGCAAAAATAAGGGAGAGAGGGGAAAAATCTGGTTGAAACTTTGACTTGATTTTGGAGGTCTTTTCCAACTTAATTTCTATGAGGATTCTATGAAAGGATGGGGCAGGAGTTGTTTCTTTTCAGGGCTGATTACACCACTAGGTAAGGACTGGCACTACATGCCGCTTGGTAACCTCTTTGCTGCCTTTAAATGTATCAGCTGAAGAAGTTAATGAGCTCTGTAAAACTAAAAGTTTGTTGCAAGGAAGCTGCTGGAGCCCCCTCAGCTGGTCCTACATTTCCTTTTCTGGCTGGGATGTTTCCATTGGGTAGCACTGTGTGACCAGCCTGGCTTTGGCTCCTGCTGCTTCCCATCACACTTCCCTGTGTTCTGGGAAGCAGCTGGGAAAGGGCACAGCCCCCTCTGGCCTCCTGCACTCCTGGCCGGGTTACACAGGATCACAAACCCAATTTCCCAGCACTGCAGAGACTGGGGAAATGAAGCTAAACTTGTGTGTCCTGTTCCTGTCAGGCTGAGGTACCACATGAAGGGGCTAAAAACGGGGGGGAAAAAAAAAACCAATGAAAAGAATCATTTTGGTGTCTGGCCTGAACTGGCTCTGCCAAAACCCGCTGTGCATTTGAAGGCTGACACAGCACCCTCTTGGCAGTGCATGGGAGGGCTCCTCCTGCTCAGAACCCCCTCGTCCTCCTACCACCCACCAGCCTTGAGGCCACTCATTGCCCATGCTGCAGGAGAGTTGGAGTCACTCCCTAAGCCACTGCAGCAGCAGCTTTATCCCCAGTTCCAGTCTCAGGAGCTGTTTTTGATGGGAACTGATCTTGGTCACACAGAAAAGCATCACCTCCCACAGAAGACTCAATCTCAGCACTGCTCATGGCTTGATAAAAGAGCACAGACCGGGAGCTCAGCGAAAGGACAGGGATGTCAGATGGAGCTGGGGTAATGGGGCAGGAAAGAGGGAATTACCACTGCTCCCTAATTCCTCCTGGCACAGGGCTCAGGCTGGAGCAGCGCGGCAGGGCTCTGTCTCCTGGAAGAGACCCAAATCCGCCCTACCCAAAACCTGCTCACTATTTGCATAGGTCCCAGCCAAACACAGGGCAGCACGAAGCAATAAATTAACCCTACAGAGACGTTTCTCCGCTCCCCCTTTCAGCCAGCATGCACGAGCCTTCCCTCTGCCTATTTTTTTTGGGGGGGGGGGTGTTTGTTTTGTTTTGTTTTGTTTTTTTTGGCATCCCCAGGTTGCAACCCAAGCAGCCCGACCCGGCGGCAGCGCTCCCCATCCTCGGCATCCAGCATCACGCCACGCCCGAGAGCACAGGAGCCGTGACCCCGGGGAGGTGAAGGGGGGTCCCCGCTTACCGGCTGCCATTCTCCGGCTGCCCAGCGCTGCGTGGGGCACTCGGGGAGGTGACAGTCCCGCTCCGGAGGTGGCCGGCTGGCCGGGTCACACTCGGCCTCCTGGGCTGCCTTCGGGGTGCCGCTGTGGCACTGCACGGAGCGGCGCTGGACGCCCCGGCCGCAGGACACGGAGCACTGAGGAAGGGACAGAAGGTGAGTGGAGCTCCCCATCACAGCCACCGTGGTACGCTCAGGGGGATCAGCCTCTGCTCGGGGCTCCAGCGCATCCCTAGCGATGCTCTAGCAAGCCTCCAAGTGAGGCTTTTCATTGAGCGAAGGGAAAAATGGGAACCTGAAGCCGGTGGGAATATTTGCTGTTGGTTTCAGTGGGGTTAGGACTTCCTGGACAGGATTTTTATTGAAAAATCTGTTTTTATTGCAAAATAGCGACACTGCTAAACCACCCTGACGTGCCAGGGGCGGCCAGGCTCTGAGTATTGCTCTGAGCATTGCTTCTCAGGCACTGCTTCAAAAAAGTAATAGTTCAAAATACATCAAATGCTATGAACAGAGTGGGCTTTAATGAAAAGCAAACTTGGATTGTATAGTGTGGAGCTGTAGAGAGGGAAAGGTGTGATACAGCTGGGGTTTCTTTCAGCATGCATCTAAACATGCACATGCACCAAGGCAGGGAATACAGTTAGTTTTTGAAAACAAATGTCTTTTTGAAATTAACTGCATTTCACATTTCCTTCATTACACTGTGGGCACATTTCTCCCAGCTTCAAGGCACAGCAACAAATGCCTGAATTTTTCTGTTTCTCAGACATCTTTAAATTATTATCTATACTGCAATACTATTAACGGCTTATTTTTCTTTCACGCAACATTTCTTAGTGTTGTGACTGCACACTAATATGTTTAGCAGTACTTAGTATTCCTCTGGAACAGATTCCCCCTGGCTAGACCTTAAAGTATACTATACAGATTTGGAGTAAAGAGAATTTGCATTTACAGTAGAAAGTGCATATAAATTAAAGGTATGCATTAAGAACACAGCTGAATTAACAACTAATATTAGTTATTTATAACAACTAATATTACTTACTAATATATCAGGAACTAAGAAAATAAGTTCACAGCCTGTTATTGCAATGCCCACTGAAATGAGCCTTCTTAAGGCAGGGAATTAAGTGGTGCCTAATGGGGAAGCAACTCCCTCTTCTGTATTCCTCCATAATGCTCTTTGCTTTACTATCCAAATGCCCCATAAAGCCAAAAGAACCAGAGAAAAGCTGACTGTGACTATTTGTCTGGCTTCAGATATTCATAAGAGGTGGGAGTATTTTTGTGTAGCTTTTGAAAGCAGCAGTGAGATTTCAGTCAGTAGTGATGCAAATTCTTCCCATATGCTGCTGCTTCCCTGGGATTAGCAGTGCTCTTTGTCCTACACATTCCTTAGGGGACTCTTAAACTGAATAAAGCCACAAAGTTAGAGAAACATATACACCAGGATGCCTGCCATGCTCTAAGATATCTTCTGAGTTGCATTTATCACCAACATAAAAAGCCTAGGTATGGATAAAAGAGCACAAGTGACACTGTGGCTTTTTCATGGTGGTCTGCACTGTGTGTGACACCTGGGTTTGGGGACAGGATGGTCCCTGGGCTGTGACAGAAGCTCTCCCTGATGCTCTGCCTGTGTTTTTAGATAGGGCTGGATTTCAGCCTGTAGCTGAAGTATGCAAATACCAGACAGCAGAATAAATATTGGTATTTTTGTTAAATGAAAGGTAAATGGCCATAATTGACACCACTTTGGAGAAACAAACACATTAAATCTGGCATTTCAGTGCAGACATAAACACATTTAAAACTTGGAGAAAAAGCCTTTTTAGAGATATGTCTTTGCTCCAGGGAATTGGGTTCCTAACAATCTAGAAAAGAACTAACCACACTCTGAATACAAAACATCCAAAGAGAAAAAAACTTAGGATTGGAGCACCAGCACAGCCAGTGTCCAACTGAAACTGATTTTTAACCAGTCCTATATTTCTTGATCTTCATTTTCTCAGTAATTCCTTTTCCAGGAGGCAAAATCCCCCGACACCTAAAGATATATGCAATGGGTTCTGTGCATATACAGCGACACAAGGATGCACTTTTATGGGAAAACCTTGTCTTATTTCTCATGCAGACTTTTTGCTGGTTTATTCAGAAGAAAAAGCACAGCAGCTCAGCTTTGGGATTAATTTTCTGAGACAATTAGTCCTTCAGAAAGTTAAGGTTTTTTTGGATAATATCTAAGTGGAAACTGATCGTGGTTCCTATTTGCAACAGTGGCACTGGTGATAGGGAAAGTCACATGGAGTTTTCACACCCAGTTTATACCTTGATCTACTGTATATTCAGAGCACCAAACTCATGTCTGTTTCATGCTCTTAATGAGAAGTTCAGCACCTAAATCCAGCTTGGCTCCAAGGCATTAAATCTCTGGCAAAGCCTTGAACACCTCTTACTTACAAGGGACCCAGGGCCAGCACTCCCATCCTGTGACAGCCCCAACTCTTCATCTGTCACAGACAAAAAAGATGCTGCCAGCACCAGTGAGGCTCAGAGATCCATGTCACAGCATTTCACAGGGCTTTAAAAAGTCCAGTTTGACATTGTAGCCTAAGTGTTTCTACCCTTTTCCTTTTTCCCTAAGCAAGGTGCTGGCTGGCTGAGCACATCCTGCATCAGGAACCTGGACTGAGGAGCTACTCCAGGAAAAGCCTGTTCTTAGCCTTATTAGCATGCAAATATTCTTTAATTGCCTGGTCATAAGAGATTACCTCAGACCATAAATCACCTCATCCCCCTATTGGGTTCCTTTCTCTAGCTGCATAAAATTAATATCTATGATGCAGTGGACAGCTGAGAATCTTAAACCACTTACTTTTATCAATTATATTAGTGTATTTCAATGCAATTGACAGACCATTACATTACTATGTTTACAATTATTAGCTGTAAAAAAACTGCTTTCAGGAGCAGTCAATTTAAATAAGGTGCAAATTGGATATCACAAGACTTTCCAATGGCTTCTCATTTCATTTCAGTCTGGCTCATGTATAAAATTGAGGTTTCAGTCCTGAAGGTAATAAAGGTAATAATATTGACTTAATTTCCAATATGGGAGCAGTGCTGTGGATTTCACAGGCTGGATGCTCCTATCCTCAGGTAAAGAACTCAGACCTCGGTAACTGAACCTCCATGGTGAATGAGCACTTACTCTTTCACCCACATAATGGCAAATACTCCTACCCTGATAATCCTAAGGTAAGGATTAAAAAGAACTAATACAAATCTGAAAATATTCATAGATCATTAGTGGGTTTATTGTCCTTTTTATGAGTGGACATTAATCAACAGCATGCTGTCCTAACATTTGCATGTGTGCCTATAGCAATGTTAATAGTTTGTCTTTCAGGGAACTTGAGTACAGAAAGAATGTGTGTTTTGTACCTAAATTTGGAAGACAGAATGCAAGGGAACATGATGTTTTACAAGTTAACAGTTCATTTAGTCTGGGATTTTTAATAATTCCTCTGATTAGCACGCTAATGAGGTAGAGGGAAAAGCAAGGTTCAGAGTGAAAAATGTGATGCAGCAGATTCAAGGTGATGACAAAGACATTATTTTCAGGAGAACAAGGAATCAAGGTATGCTTTCAGCAAGCAAGATATTTAATAACTCAAAATACTTTTTAATTTCCAGCAGCCTCTGCTCTATGCATCACTGTTTGACTTTTTAAAGAGGGAAAATCAAGTAATGAGTTTGTTTCTCAAAACTAAGGAAGATTTTACTTGAGATATGATATTTAAATGATATTAAAAACATGAGTAAATAATAAAATCTCTTTAATATTATATACTAATGATGTTTCCAGCAAAAACTTAAAATAAACAACATGTAATTTGCTTTCAGATAGACACTAAAAGCAAGCTGCCTAGTTTCCAGCTAGTACAAATCTGTACTGCTCCACTGCTGTCCATAAAGCTACCGTGTTTTACACCAGGATCTGGCCCAAAACCTTTAGCCCTGAATAATTCATGAGGACAGAAATGATTGGAAAACCAGGCTCTAACCAATTTGATGGAGGAAGAATACCAAAAGGTGCAAAGGGGTACACAACATGTCTCACCTGGCCCCAATCTCCTGCTTTCCACTTCGGACATCTGCCCCCTCTGCATTTCTTTTGCACGTTGGGCTTAGCAAGGTGTTTACAATTCTCTTCTTCTACATGCCTCCCTTCCTTTGACAAACAGTACACACTGCGGTGCTTTTGGCCCCTTCCACAGGAGACAGAACACTGTAAATACAAAGCAACAACAGATCAGCTTTCACACTCACACAGGGGCCATGGCTTCCCAGGGCATTTTCTTTTAGCTGGACCAAAAAGCACCTCCCCAGGTCCCTGGCAGGCTACACAAAAAGCTTGAGGCGAGTACAGACATTTCATATTGTGTCTTTCATATTCTTGGTCAAAGCCCCAAAAATGCCAGTATCAAACCAGAGAAAACAGCTGACATTCAGCAGGGATAACAGGCTGGATTCCTGGCATTGCTCCACTCCTTTCAAAGGAGCAGAGTCATCTTACAGGGATCAAGGCAGGAGCCCTCAGTATCTACTTGGAACTTGAAAGGAACCATTTCCATTTACCTTTGTACAAAGGGATGTCAAATATTGGTAAATCAGGAGGGTAAAGTGTGCTCTGCACCTTCACAGAGGGAAATAACTGCAAAAGGACAAGGCAGGAAAGTGCAGCATTTCCTTGTCCTTGGTACAAAGGCTTGTGTTTGTTTTATCAGTGTAGTTTGACTTTTCTTTTTTGCTTCACTTAACAGACTGAAACCAGGACATGTTCATCCTTAAGATTTATGCATTTTGAAAACAACTCAGAAGGTGGCAAGAAGGCAGAGCCTGGAGAATTCAAAGCAAAAAGCAAACCAGCAGGTATGTTAGCTGCAAGCTTTGTAGTGAAGCAAATAATTTCAACCTCCCTCTGCAGGTTCACTGAACTTTTTCAAATGTGACCACTTCTGGCATGCAAACCCCAAGCAACTTCACTTTGATTTCAGATTAGTCTCCTCCAAAGATTTAGGAATCAAAGGGGTCTGGAATCACGACACGAATTTAATATGACAGTTTCATGTAGAACAAGCCTCTTACTCAGCATGATGCACCCAGAGACTCAGCTTCCATTTCTTCATTACATGCTACGTCATAAGCACACTGGTTTAATCCTTGAGGGCAAACACACTGTTTTAACCATCTCTCTATATAAAATGTTCTGCTTTCTTTTCAGAATGGGGAAAACATGCAGAAATGAGGCTTCGCCCTTCATTTTGGAGTCACTCCATCAGTATATTTCCCAATAAATATATTAAAGCTCAAGCTCTTCCCAGCCTATAAATACATTTGAAACCTAAAAATTTTATATATATATATATATATATATATATATAGCAGCTCTGGAAGATCCACTAGAATAGGAATTGGCATAAACATTGACACCTGTGAATATTTTATATTACAGCCCTACTTACAGTTCATTCAGCCCACAAAGAACCAGTAAGACAGCAGTTTCTAAATGGAAAAGTTCTGACCAATGTGGAGAGAAATGGATCTAGCTCCTAAAACCAGACACTGATGCTTAAAGGCTTGTACAAATGATACCCTGAAAAAGGTTGTTTTCCTGCTGCAAGAATGTTACAGATTGACAAAAGATCACTGGGGTCCCGTTGATCAACAGGTTTAAGAGGCATTAATGATGCTCCTCTGAGAGGCCTAGCAGGGATAGCTGCCTCTGAGTTTTCCTGAGCCCAGATCCAATTCAAAGATAGGCCTAAAAACCCAACAAGCAACATCCAACCTTGCACTGGAAAACAGAAGAAATGCTGTCTAAAATAAAACTTTCACAAGTTACCCAGATCCATAAACTTCACTTCTTTTCTTTAGTATCAACAGAAGAAAGATCAAGCTAATGTTATCTTATTTTTATAAGCCTTCAATGTCATCAGAAGTTAATTTTTTCATTCTCTCTACTTCTTTCACCAGGCAACAAAAGTCAGCAGCAAGACAGAAATGTCACATCTTACAGAACCCAGTTCTAAACTTCTAATATTTCCATCCATTTACTGTCTTTGAACTAATCACCAACACTGATGCTTAAACAAAAATTCAAGGGCTCCTTGGTAAACAGTCTTCATGCAGGTTATGCCACTTTACTGTGACAACCAAAGTTAAAGAGTAAATTTACAGCATTGATCAAGATTCTATCATATCCCACATCCTGAGCTGCTATAGCACAGAGCATCCTTAATTTAAAAAACACATGGGATCCCACTACTTCTCCTTAAATAAGGCCAACCACACTGTGCCACAATGCAAGCACCTTTCTGGGGACCTGAAGCTGGTTGATAAATTCTTGATCTCACAAGCAATTTGGTACTAGTTATTTCCAAAATTATTACTTTCCTTCTACAAAATGCGTAACTTTGGCGTGGAGCCCGATTCTGACATTTATCTCGTGATCCCATGATCAAACAAGTCTGCGTGCAAACCTCGGTGCACTCAGAGGTTGAGGCATAATTTGCTTAATTTTGTTAATACTTAAATGTAATTCCCAAGATGCTGGAATTAATCATTTCTATGTCTGCCTTTAATATAAATCAAATTTAGGCAGCTGTGCACTTTCAGATCTAAACCACCCGTTTGCTTTCATGCACGTTTGAGTTATGATCTCATTTGCACTGACAGAAAAGAAAGGTTGAATAATCTAATTTAACCAAGTATCAGAGACTGAAAATTCCTTTGCAAAGAGTCTGCTTAATAACTGCCATCTAATTCATCTCAGGTATTCAACTTTTATCTGGCACATTGATTTTAAGCATATGTGAGCCACATGCAAAGCATAATTTAATAGTGGGCTGCATCTCAACGCCATGTGAGTCCAGGAAGTGCTACACCCAACTACCACCACCAGCCTCGTCATTTATTTTGGACCCTGGAGAAACTTTGCATTTCATTAACAGGATTCTTCGTGGCTGCAAATGCTGCCTGCTTATGGTACCTACCAATAACAGTACCACAACAAGGTAAGCTTTGACCTTGCCTTCCTTAAAACATTTGGCAAAACCACTGTCTTCACATTCCTCTTTTTCTTGACTTCTTCCCCACACCTGCCATAGGAAATGCTTCCAAGTACTGGGGGCAGACTGTGGCTCTCTGGAATAAGAGTATCACCTTATCCAAGGCTCTCTGAGTCAACAGAGAAACCTCTACTGGTTTTAAGCACCTCTGAGCCAGCCCTGAAGGTGCAGCCAGGTATTGTATGGAATTATTTCACTAACCAGCTGCCTAGAGTCAAGGATCACATGCACTTGGGCACACCTGTGGTCAGCTTGCCCCTGCCTCCACTTCAGTGTGGGAAAACCTTGCTCTGAAAGGCTGTTTACAGCCTGTGATTGAGGCACAACAGCAAACAGCACCCCTGGCTGAACCTGGGAGGACAGCCCCTTATTACTATCTTTATTATCTCCTAAACCCACCACAGTCACACCTGGCACTTTACATGGAGAACAAAAACAAAAGGACTTTCCTAAGAGCAGCAGGATCAAAGCACTTCGCACAGATTTAAGGCCTTTATGTTTATTGCATGATTAGTGTTGTTAACATGCCAAGACCTGGAGATTGGCATGCTGCTGATATTTTCAAATAAATATACTGCCTAGTTTAAATAAATGCAAGGAAAAAAGTTTAAATAAATACAGCAGAAATATTTCCATATCAACTGTTTCCATAAAGGTCAGAACACGATGCTAAACATCTCCTGCAATGCCTTGCTGTGCTCTGCTTTTTGTTTTGGTTTCCACAAACACTTTGTTTTCTGTTTCAGAGTTTAGGAGATGATCATTCTGTTTTACCAAGTGTGCGCAAATTGCTTTAAAATAACCCTTTCTGCATTTCCTGATCTGATCATTTGGATGATGAGGGTACATCTTGTCCATTAAAACCTCCCTAAAATAGAGAGGCTGCTACTTGATGCACAGCAGGAAAAAAAACCCAACAGAATATGTTCAAAATCTCTTAAAAATTTAAATTTCTGGTGATTTTCTGGGATTGGGGTCAGTCCAACACCAGGAGGACCCAAGAGCCCTGGGCACAAATGAACAAATCTTGGCAAGAAGAAAAAGGCATCACAGAGCAGTCCAGAAGAAATGGGATGAGTGCTCCATGTAAACTTTGTGCTTGAAGGGGCAGTTCCACAAAGGGCAGAAAGGCACATCCCAAGAAAGAACCTGGGAACACTTCCCCAGTAGTGAAAAGCTGCAGAAAATGCTGTCAGACCACTTTTCAGACCCACTGTGCATCGACGATCTGGGAGGTATTTAAGACAATGAATGCAAGCTGTGGTGATCACCAAATGCATTCCCAAAGATAGGTATGCTCTGATAGCTCAGCAAGGGCAGGGCTGTGAAGGATTAGACTAAAAATGGCTTTATCAGATTCTGCCAGGAGCAACTTTTGGAGGAAATTAAAATCAATCCTTGTAGATTTAGACTTCCCCACATTAAGGATTTTATGGAAAGTCAGCAGCTGTAAGTAAGCCCTGGTTCATCCTTTCCAACAATCTGAGACAAAATGTGTTGGATGAAATAAAGCAGAAAAGCAAGAGCTCTCCAATGCTTTACACCCCTTTTCCAAGAGGGATGTGTTCCTGGATGCCAGCAAACTTCTCCACCTACAAGCAAACCCAACAATGTACCCCCAGAGGTACCTTTCAGCAGCCCATTAGTCTGCATCACCTTTTACTGCCACTGCTGCTCTCAGACACTGAAACCACATCCCGGTGACTTCTGTACCTCTGAAGTCTCTTGAGCACAAAGGACATCAACAGACACATCACCAAGGAAACCCTGGATCCTTCCTCACCACCTGAACCTCTACCAGGAATCTTAAAATGCTGGAATCTTACTGTGCTGTCCAGCAACAGGGACTCTGTGGCATCCAAACCAAAGTAGCTTCACAACAGCAAGGTATTTCAGCAGGTAATCCCCTTGGCTTCAGCCAGACAGGCTGAAAGCAAGGCTGCAGCACTTAAAGAGATGTTTAGGAAATATTTCTTGCTGCTCTGAAGCAATGGAGCAAGGAGCCCTGTTTCTCCCACCTACGTGTTTTAGCACAGTCTTGTGCCATCACCATGCATTAGCATGGTGAGAAATCCATAAAATTGGGTGGAGATAAATGCAGGGCAGGAGTTGCCCAGCTTGGCCTTCCTTTGCTGACAAACTAAGGAGACATGACTTA